ATATATATATATATAACAAAAAGGCAAAAAAAGAGAAAAAAAGTGTCATTAGGAACAACACCCATTTCTGTAGTGAAGTTATGAACAAATAATATACCTGTGGTAAAAAGCTATGCAAAGGACCTCAGTTTGGAAAAGTACAGTTACTAATGCATTAAGAACAAGTTCAAATGTAGCTAATATTAAAGTTAATTGTGCGGTCTTGAAATCTCCGAAATGTCAACGTGGTTCATGTGACACAGACCTATAGTTTTTTACATAGTTGTTTCAGCAGGAATATAATTAGTAGAGATGACCCTCAGCAGGACCAGTGGCCTCATGCATCAATGCACAAAAAGTTTGCGTGTCAGTTTCCATGCACATGTCGGGATGTAAAACAGCCTGTGTTGTGTGGAAGGAAGCATGTGTTAAAATATGCAAACATTTGAATGGCGACAGGCTCCCGTCCTTCCCTTTACCCACACCTGATCATTTAACCTTTTTATTAATTAGTTAATTATATAATTTTAGTATTTTAATATAATTAGTATTCACTGAAGCCACAATTGAAAGCTGGCAACTAACCAACAAATGGCACATAAATAACCTTCACTGATTAATGATGGTGGTGTAAAGATTTACAAAATAGTTTTCACTTTAAAATGAAAGGAACCTTCAAGTTTAGGCTATGAGTGCTTTAAAGGACTGTAGACACATGAGTAGGTTTTGCTCATTGCCAAAGTGTTGAAAAATATATATAAAAAAAGTATGTTTAAGCTGAAAAATGCAAAAAATAATCCAGCCATTCAGGGTCACTGGTACCCATATCCAGCAGTCACTATGTGAGAGGCGGGGTACACCCTGGACAGGTCGTAAGTCCATCACAGGGACACACATGGAGACAAACGAGACAGACAACCATTCACTCTCTCACTCACAATTTAGAGTTACCAAATAACCTATGCTGGAACAATTTACTCATTTGATAGAATGGTTAGAAGTTATTTTTAATGAGATATGAACAAAGTATTGGTTGAAATTGATATTTCTGTTGTGATGTTGTTTTGTTGATTATTTTAAGTTATACTGTGAAAGTTGAGTTTATATTTCTGCATGTTGTATAATTTGTAGATAGATATTTTTTAAATGGGGGCAGATGTTACAAGATTTTTTTCTTCTTTCTGCTCATTTTCATTTGACCATGTTGTGTTGTGTTTTGACACAACTTTATTATTATTTGTAATATTTGTATTTTTTAAATTGTTTGTCCGAATGAAATTAAAAAAATATATACACTTTTTTGCCCGTGGGAGGAAGCTGGAGTGCCCGGAGTAAATCCACAGGTCCCCGGGTCGGGATTTGATCCGGCGACCTTCTTGCTGAGAGGCATCAGCCCCACCAATTGAGCCACCGTGCCGCAAAAAAATAATGAATAAATAAATAAATAAAACGCTAGGCTGATGGAAAGTAAAGTGTTTTTGTGAGAACCTGAACAAAAAGACAACTAGTGGTGCTACAATGTAAAACACACAAGAGAAAGTGTGACAATGTGGGATAGTTAGCTAGCCACAAATAGGGCTGCCACGACTAATCGATCATTTTAATAATCGATGACTAATTTATTAATCAATAAATCGTTTTCTTTTCTTTTTTGTTCTTCACTTTGTTTTTCTCTCCAAACTGCTTTGACACCTTCCACTGCCACATCTGCCTTTCTGTCCTTGACATGCACAGTAGTGGTAACTGGGGTAGGCCGTGGACGTCACAAGACATTAWACAGACAGGCTCTGGTATCATGGTTACCTGGCAACGGAGCTCAAAAGTCTGGGATCATTTTAAGAAAATGAAAGAGAAACCTGTGTAATATCTGCAGAGCAGAACTWTCCTTCCACAGCAGTTATTTTTAGTTAGCATATAGCTAAAATCTAACAATGGTTATATAATAGCAGCTGCATTCTGGCGCGATAAGCTCTATGTTTTATATTCAATTAACGTATGATCTGATTAGTCGACTAATCGAAAAAATAATCAGTGATTAATCGATTATAAAAATAATTGTTTGTGGCAGCCCTAGCCGCAAACAATTATTATAAAAGGAATGTAATCTCACAGCAATTTGCCATCTAATCTATGCATAACCACATTATAATGCCATAAAATGATTTCTATTTCTATTTGACAACATAAAAAGGATTTCTAAGCTACTGTTTGGGAGGGTCATTAACTCAAAACAGTGAGTGGAGTGTCTATTTAGAATACTTGATCTGTATTATTATTTTAAAAGCCTTATATCAGCTGAGGTAGTCTGAGATGAGCAGGTGTGTATGACTCAATAGGCCTTTAATCTGTCCAAAGAACTCCCATAAAGCTATTACCAAAGCAATAGTGGAAAACTTTAAGGAATGTAGGAAAGAAAAATGAGTATTTATACTGGTCAGGACATTTTGAAGAGTAATGAAGATTTTTTATGGCTTACACATACTTCAAAGTTAAGATCTGTGTCTCCAGCTCTGTATTTTTCTTCTGCAGGTCCTCTATCTCTCTCTCCATTTCAGTGGATCGCACCCCCACCACTTGGTCAGCAGTCACACCTCGACTCTTCAGTTTCCTCTGAAGTGAAGCCTTTTCCTGGTCCTGTCTGCAAACACAGGAACACACACAAAGTGCAAATGAATTTATAACATTACAGAGCTCCAGCGACCTATGTTCCGCTTTCCTAAAGCCTTCATTGGGTCCAGATGAGAAGAATATAGACAAAGTAAATCAATCATGATTAACATCAATGAGAAAATCTAAGAAAGCTGTGCAAAGCAACTAGTAAGATAGATACACCCACCTGGCATAAAGGTCCTTAAGAAGGCTGAGTTGTTTTGACAAAGATTCATTTTCTTGTTCTTTTTCCTTCAGTGAATTCTTTGCTTTTTCCAACCTGGCTTGCCATTTTTTGCTTTCCTCCCATCTTACAATTTTTTCCTTATTCTTTAAGAAAATAAGATTTATATTAGCTCAACACATTAAATGGTAATAAATACTAACACAGAGCAAGGCTGTAAATTTTTGGTGTAATGGAGGCATTCAAGCCCACCGGCTGTTAGATAAACTTTCAGACGTTCCTTTAGAAGAAGATCTTAGTACAGTACATAACAACTGTGTCCAGATATGGTAAGAGACCCTCAATATACAGTATTATAAAAACAACTTGTTGCATTCTTAATGCTGCTTTTAACCTCTTCAGCCCCAGGTACTGGGGGCAAACCGCATTTTCCCTTTTCTACTTCTTTGACAGAATTTAAAAGAAATACCAGGGGCGTGGTGCTCAAGAGGTTAATCACTTTAAGGTTTTTATAAGCTTTTCTTCTGAGTATCAGTTGTCAGGTCGCAGAGGCAACAGGTTTTAAGAAATAAACCCAGATATCCTTTCCCCAGTGATACTCCAGCTCCTCTTGGGGGGGATAATAAGGAGATCCCAGGCCAGAGAAGATATACAGAATCACCACAACATGGTCAAAAACAAAGAGATGAGACCAAAGCACCTTCTTCTCCATGACTGCGTCCTGAGTCCCTGTTCATGAACTGGACACACACGATCAAAATCCAGAGATAGCTCTGACAAAGTTTATCCTGTACTGGAAATGATCTTTTTCATCTTCCTATAAAATTGATGGTAGCACAATAACTCATCATCTTGTCAGCCATGAAGCATAGTCAGACTTTGTTTTCAGGGTTTTGAGAGCTGCTTTGTCCAGCACGAGGAGGAGCTCACAAAATGAGAGCTTTCGAGGTGATGCAGTGATGTAATGTGTACTACGGAGGATGCAGCCCCGTATTTGTGATCCAGCATTATCTAAATACTAACATACAACAAAAGTTTTCTACTTTCTCTGATGGTTTTCACAATGACCCTTACCTTTCCATGATCCTCTTTGCTATTTTTTTCTTTGGTATTTTTCTCCAAGTCGGACTCCAGCTTTTTGATCTTCTTCTGTAGATTCTCAATGGTAGGCCCCTTGCCAGCAGCTTCTGTTTGACTCTAAGCAACCAACACAAAGAGACAGATAATCATGTTAGCTCAATTTTACTCAAGTCAGAAACAGACATTATTTATAACGGGCTTTTTTTCTGTGTTAGGAAAGATGCAAAGAGTTAAAACCATAATAGCTATCAAAATACAAGCTTTATCATAGTTTTAATTTGAATTTTTTTGTATTTATGTATCGTCAATGATTAAATTAGTAACCAATGGTATTGTTTACTATCAAAGTCTACTGTATAATTTGTAATAAACAAGCAAACTCAGCTGTCATGTTTTGTTGCAAACAGCTTGTTTTGTTTAAATTCGAACATTGATGATTACACATCAGACCACTTTCAATCAGTCAATTATCCGTCCATACATCTATCGTCTGTACCCGCTTATTCCTTTCAGGGTCACAGTGCGAGGGGCGGGGTACACCCTGGACAGGTCGCAAGTCCATCACAGGGACACACATCAGTCAATTAATCAACATTAATTTATAGAGCCCTTTCCAACAGCCAAAAGAAGCACAAATTGCTTCACAATACAAGGGGTTAAAAAAAACTATACAAAATGTCAGAAAGCCAATAGGGATTAAATTCCTGCCTGAATAAAACTATTTTAAGATTAGATTAAAAAAGGCTCAGTTCAGTAATGGAACGTAAGACCTGAGGTAGTCTGGATGCAGTGCCCAAAAAGTCGGTCACCCTACTTGGTCTTGGTGGATTATGACTATCGAAAAGGTAGCATAATCCCTGAATGTATACAGTCGTGGGGGAAATAAATGGAATTGAAAATAAAAGTACAAATTGCGGAGTAAAAGTCCAGCTTTATTTTCTGACTGATTGACCATGTTGTGTTTTGACACAACATTATTATTATTATTTGCATTATTTGTATTGTTTTAATTGTTTGTCCGAATGAAACGAAAAAAAAAAAATACAATTTTTATGCCCGTGGGAGGTGGGAAACTGAGAGGTGGAAAGTGTACAAGCAAAACTCACATTAAGCTAATGAGCAGTGCCAAAATATTTACTGTTTTATAACAATTTTTACAAAATCCCTGATGGGTTTGAGTTATGTTAGCAAACCAACGTTTTATATAATTATATATAAATATAATTATCAATAATTTATTGATGTAAAAATTGTGTAAAAAGCATAAAATTTTAATTTAAACAAATAAAAGTCATGTATGTTGACAGCTTTTATGGCTTTAAACATATGTGATAGGAATAAGTTTGAGAAAAAGAAGTAAATTATATGGTAAACGTTTTACAAGAATACCTAACTAATTAAATCAAGAAATTCTCAGAAGTTCTTTGGAGTTCATCTTAAACCACAGGAGACTTTAAGACTTAATTATTAATGCATTCCTCTGTCCTTATTTTTATTGACTGTGAAGGAGCCTAATGTACTTAGCATGTCTCAGTGTGGGCTGTGAGTCAGAGGAAACATTTGTCTAGGTGAGGTGATGATACCGGCTGTTCTTGAATGCATCACTCTGCACCTCGTGCTCTTTATGTACAACAGACTAACAGTCTAACAAAGCTGAGTGCTTCTACACACTCATGATACAAACCTGCACCGTGCTGCTGAGCCTCTTCGCCTGCTGCTTGAGCTCCAGGATTTCTTGCTCTAGCTCCTCATTTTCAGCTTTCAGTTGTTTCTGAGTTTTCAGATATGTTTCGATGTCTTGGTTCAGTCTTTCGACTTCTTCTTTTAGGTTGTTCTCCTGGGTTCTAGATGTTTTGGCAGTCTCTTTTGCAGCTTGAAGTTCTTTATTAAGTTCTTGAATTTTTGCCTGTGAACAAAAGGTTCATTATATTTCTAATTGCCATGTTTTTATTTTACAAACAATACTGTAGTAAGCAGGTTTTAAAAATGTAAAAAGTTATCAGGGATGTTCTAATGAGTGTCCTGGATGTTATAATCATAAGTACACAGCTGAAATTACAAGTAATTACATATGAATTAGGGTTGGGCAATATTGGGAAAAAAAATCACAAATAATTGTGGTATTTAGTAGGGCTGTGTATTGGCAAGAATTTGGCGATACGATACATATCATGACAGAGAGGTCACGATACGACATATCCCGATATATTGTGATACTATAAGCAAGGCGATATATCGCGATATATTGCGATATATCGCGATATATTGCGATTTTTTTTGTCCAAAAATTCTATTAAATAAAAACCTCTTACTGGGGAAAAAACTGAAAAACCAAAATTCATTGTCTCAGAAAATTCTAATATTACAGAGACATACTTTTGATACATTTAGCTGTGTTCTGCTTTGTATGTATTTTATTTTATTTGTTTCATATTTCTTATTTCATCCATGTTTTCAATTATTAGACTAAATTTGACTATAAAGAGTTTGAAAATATATTTTTTGCAGCTTTTAGTTTTTAATATTAACAATAAGGTCACCCAACACTTAACAATAGCCTCTACCTCAAGAGGAGGAGGAGCCAAATGACTGGCTCACTGCTGCCAACTAGTGGTCAGAGGCTGAACTACAACATAAAAATGAACGGCTGGCAGGAAAGTTGACATWTTAAACCTTAATAAAAAATCGATACAGGGCTTTAGAATATCGATACAGTATTGGGAAATAAAATATCGCGATATTTCAGTGTATCGATATTTTCTTACACCCCTAGTATTTAGCCGATCATGATTAATTTGACGATTAATCCCCTGGAGTCCCTGTACAGTGTACACCCTTATGTCCTGGTCACATGACCAGTTTAGTGGGAAAGATTTGCTCTTCATAAAAATCTGTTCCAAATTGTGTTAAAATTCCAGACTTCAGGCTATAAATCAAATTTTAAATTGTGTTGATAGATAAATAAATTACAGAACTTTTTAAAAATGTTTGTCAAATTTGAAGCGGAGAGGAGCACCGAGCGGAGTGACTGGACAAATATTCAGTCAGTCCGCCTGGTGGCATTAATCGTATTAATCGTCAAGTCCAAAAAAATAATCGATTAATGTTTTTCTGACGATTAATTGCACACGATACGATTATGCCCAACCCTAATATGAATTAATATTAATAATGTTATATTAATTCTCATTCTCATTATTTGGCTAAAAATTCCAATAGAAATAATTTAGGGAATCCTATCTGATAAAAAAAAAACAGGAAAGGTTTAGTCAGATTTAAGGTTGGACAGTGAGAAATAAATAATTACCTGACTTTTATACCTTGGACGTGAACACCTTGTTTCAACTGTATATAATGGATTCTTATTACTGATAAGTTGCATACATTATACGCAGAACGTGGAACAAATCTGTGTTTATTTAGAACACAATATGTAAAACCTGATTGGTTCACAAAGTGTCCTATAAGGTGAACTGAAACTATGATCATCTTTTCTATCTTATAGATATAAAAAGCACTCAACTTGTTTGAGCAAATTTCTTATTTAAATTCTTCAACCACATTTCCAATGAAGTTGGGACATTGTGTGAAACATAACTCAACAAGAATACAACGATTCACAAATCCCTTTCAAATACACTTAAGTTGAATACACTCCGAAGATAAGGTTTTTAATGTTCAAACAAATAAACTCTATTGTTTTGTTTTTTTGCAAATATTCACTCATTTTGAATTAGATGCTGCAACACATTCCAATAATGCTGCAACATTTCTTAATGTACAACTTTTCTATAATGAAATACAATGTATAACTTATCTAATTTCCTTCCAGGATCAGTAAAGTATTTTGAATTGAATTGAACTGAACAGCAAAAAATGTAGTGATTTCCTCATCTACAATCCATGATATCATCAAAACATTCAGAGATGTGCGATGGGAAAAATGCAGGTAGAGTTTTCCTATTGAGAGACAAAGGTAATTGTTTACAGGAAACTGTTTTGCATTTTTGTTGCAAATTTTTTGTTGCAGATTGTTGCCAAAGGTCGTACAGTATTCCTGATCAGGCTGCATTTTTTAACTTACATTTTGTGAATCATCTTTCTAAAGTTGCGGTTGGAGACGTGAATTAAAATCTATCCTGAAAATAAAAATTATAATGGGAAAATATGGGTAAGGCTGCTTAGATGTACAATTATATTTCAACTACTTTATGGAAGCACTATGTTAAATTTCAAGCTGTATTTCTTAACCAGCCTACAAAGCTTTCTTTAAGTTAGTTAACTTCCTTAACACTGAATGAAATATGGCGCAATGAGGAAAAGCAGGTATGTTTTGATGGATTCTCTTACCTTCAGGTCTTTGGTCTGTCTGTCAACAAGCATCTGTACATTGAGACTCTCCTCCTTTTGGGCAGCATTTGTTATGACCTCCTGCTCTGCTGCAGCTGTCATCTCTGCCCGCAGCTGTAACAGAGCCTTACTGAGAGACTGAAAGAACACAAAGCAAAGGCAGTCTGGATGTGATGCATCGACCAGTAGGTGATTTCTGGATGGACTATGCTCCTTTGTTGCATTTACTTTTTACTCTCCACATTTTGTTTGTACAAACTGGAGTCTTGACAGAAAACAAATGAAATAGGGACAACACTTTTATTAAAGAGGATTCAATAAAAAAATGTGTATTTAGTTATGGAAAAACCTTGAGCTTTTTCTCTTTTTGGACGAGCTCTGCTTTCAGCCGTTCCATCAGGTTTTTCATGGTGTTGCTTGGGGAACGAATGTTGGCCTCTTTCTGGGCTATCAACTCTGTAGAGAGGTGGCTCATCTCCTTCTCCATCTGAGCTATGTGGCTCCTCTGACTCTCGATCTCACTGGTCAACGGTTTTACCTGGGCAGCAGAATATTCCTCCAGCCTGCAACAAAGCCTCTGTTAAGTTTACTGGGCCAGTTCATCTAAAACCATAATTAATCAGACATTCTGTTAAAGAAAAAATGAGTTATCCTGGATTGGGAGTCACAACTGATATTAAATCATTTAAGGTACATGTGTACAGCCAAGCAAAGTATTTTTTTTTTTTCGAATTTGGGTCTGTTCAAACAGCTCCTTCATGCAGATAGCGTTATAATTTAGTTTTACAACACAGTTTAGACTTTTCTTTGGCCAAAGTGATTTCTGTTAAACCAGTGGGCGCCACTTCCTGACTAAAATCACTGTCTGTGGCACGAGACATCTGGATGTTATTATTAAGGATTTGTTTCTTCCTAAAGTTATAAAAAGATAAAAGATGCAGTTGTTTCTGGTGTTTGTTGTATTCTCCGAGTAATAAAAGATCCATGCCTCTGGGTGCACTCTGCCATGGCTGACGCACCGACCACCCAGTGCACTATTGAACTTTTTAAAACCCTCTTTAATCAGCTTTGCTTTTTGACCCCTTAAAACCTAGTCCTCTTTAATTTACCCTAAGTAACTCTTTGGTTACCAGTTTAATCTTTTTTCCCTTCAAGTCCGACAGTTCTGACTTATTCAATTACTTTACCTGAGCTGTGAAGCTTACATAGAGTGAAAAATCCAAACCCAATCCTTCAAAACACCCTATGACAGAAGCCAGCAAATAATTACTTATTGATCGATCTGCTATAGTGAGCAACAACAACAAAAAACTGATTTTAATTCTCAAGGGGTAAAAAAAAAAAAAGAGATAAATTTGTGAGGTCTTAATTTCAAGTAATATATTCTGAACTTTAAGGATATTTGGTTGAACATGTTGAACTGTGTTTCCACACCAGTATTTTAAACATCTTGAAATGGGGTTCTGTGCAAAGGCTATGAATAATTAATATCTTACAAATCTGATAAAGGTTTGCAAATCTCACACTTGTTTAGAAATATTCTGCTATTAGTGTAGAATAATCTAGTCCAGGTTTTGAAGTGTCTACTTGTTATAGTTTGGTATTTTGTATTCAGGTCCTCAGGAATTTTTTTCAGTGATACTCCTACAGTTATTGTGGGGATGATGATACATCCCCCCTGACCTGTAGTCCTAACTCCTCCTTTGTTGTATCTTGTCAATTTCTAGGTGTGCTAGCAGATTCCTTGCTTGCATGTTGGAAAACTGGGTCTGAAGTTGTTTTTTGGTCAATCTGGATGATGGGGATCAAAGTTTTCATAGTTCCCACATCTTTCCGACATAGTCACGAGCTCTAGGCTTGCTAGTAGCCTTCAAACAGTGTTCTCTGCCCTTGTTCGTGCATGTATTTTTTCCAGTAGCCCCTTTCTCATCAGAATGTCCTCGTTTCCCAATGTCTGAAGCAGACCTTGTTAAGAGTGGCTGACCCAAGGCCAGACAGTCCGGATCATTAAAGACCCCCAGAGAGGTGCAATTCCATCCAACATGGAAGCTCCTATCAGGCAATCATAGCGGCTAAGATGGATAGGCACGTGTTAGTATCTGAGCAAGGCACAGAAGTGAATTAGCATCAACACCAGAGGAGCCAAGCACCATCTACTGGTCAACAGAACCACAGCACAAGACTGTAAGAGCAGACATACACTCACCGGCCACTTTATTAGGTACACCACGCTAGTAACGGGTTGGACCCCCTTTTGCCTTCAGAACTGCCTCAATTCTTCGTGGCATAGATT